GGAACTCGCGTGGGAAAACAAATTTCGCGGGCGGGCCAACCAGCACGTCCCGCCGCCTCATCACTTACGCTACAGCAGTCACAGCTATATCTATATCATACCCGGATAGAGGAAGAATAGAAGACTTACGTGAAGCTACATCTCAACCACGGAAGAAGGACGTTGCAGTGATGGAAATAGCAGTCTGTTCCCCAAACAAGTAATTTATTAGCAGGCATGGGTACTTTATGGCATTTACTATATGTTATATAGTAGACATCCGAATTTTCCGACATCAGGACTGGCTAGCTTTCTGGACTTATTTTCAAGTCTGGACGTAGACATTTGCATTCATCAAAGTGTATAGTTGTCAACTTTTATTGGCGCACGTATTCATCAATATTTAGCAGAGAGTAAATTTATTGACATTTAGCAAAGAGCATCTTTATCAGCATTACAATAAGCACGGTACTGTTCAGAAGTATTTATCGTGGTTACATTCATCAGAATTTACCATGATGTAGATTTATCAGCACTCGTCGAGGCGTATATTCATCAACATTTCCTTTTATCAAGCTTGGTATTTATCTGCATTTATCATTGTATATACGTTCATCAGCATTTCAATCAATCTGCGTATTCATCAACATTTACAAATGTGTATATTTATCAGCATTTATATGACGAAAGGCAACATTTATCACGCTATACATCACTCAGGAACTAGTACGGCGTGGAGATCGTCTGCGCACAGAGCCTGCTGCTATAGTGCAGCTCCGTGTGTCGGCGACACGTTGCTTAACGACTGCGTGTGACGCACGCACCTCGCAGTGCAGAGAGCAGTGATGGCCGCACGCCCTCATGCCTGCTTATACACACACGCGCGCGCACACACAAACACACACACACACATACACACACACACGCACGCACGCACGCACGCACACACACACACACAAACACACACGCGCGCGCGCACAACACACACGACACACACGCACACACACACACACACACACACACACACACACACACACACACACACACTACCATTAGTGGTCACAGCTTGCAGCTGCCGCGCGGAACATCACACGGGCCAGCGGCACATTAATCCGCGATTCAATCAGGGAAATTAGCAGCTACTGCCGCGTGTCAGTGATGAGGACGGCAGACCCTGCTCCGTACGCCACGCCGCGACTAATGACATTCACCGAGATGAGTTTGACAATAATGACAATGACAATTATGACGACATTAGTTACAATATCAGCGAAAATTAACAACGGTAAGCCGGCCCGCGTGGACACGATTTCGTGCACGCACACTCACACATGCACGCGCGCGTGCACGCTCGAGTACGAACGCGCACACGGTCACCTACCTACACACCCGGCATACACGCACGCACACATGCACGCACGCGTGCACACCCTCGAGTACGAGCGCGCACACACGTACGTGCCTACACACCCGACATACACGCACGCACACATGAACGCACGCGCGCAAACACGCACGCACCTACACACCCGGCATACACGCACGCACGCGCACGCACGGGAGCACACACTAGGGTACGAGCGCGCACACATACACGCACACGCACGTACGTACCTATACATCCGGCATACACGCACGCATACGCACGCACGCACACATATACACACGCACGCACGCACGCACACACACACACACACACACACACACACACACACACACACACAACACAGCAGTGGCCGTGTGATGGGGGTGGGATGCAACCGGATAGCAAGTAGCAGCACTGCCGGGTTGCCCGCACCGCACATGTAAGCAAGCGTGCCTCTACTTTAGCACTGCTCGCTGCCCCTGTTAATGTGAATGACCGCTGGGATGGGAGAGAGTGCCAACTACCGCCCAAATATCTAATGACTCAACCTAAGCTAATAAGCATAATTATCTATGCACGCCATACGGAGAGGCAGTAGCATGACAGCGGCAACCGTATTGCTGGACCATCTAACAACCGCATGCCAAACAGCGACGCGCCCGTGGGGGGTGGGGTGAGAATGCAACTAGTAGCGTAGGCAGTGGGGCCGGGGTAAAGAAGCGGGCGAGAAGGACGCTGTGAGCAGCGGTAACGGTAGAGGGGGTCAGTGGGGAAACATTCTGCGATCGTCGGGTAAAGTAAATAAATCTCACGCGGCAAATCAACACGCCATGAGACCCTTTCGCGCATCATCAAGTCTCACCGTACAAGCTGCTAGAAATTAATTTCATGCTTGCGTTTGTAATTTGAATAAAATGTCCATTAACCTCTTATTCCGATGCGAATAGGAAACATAATTACGCCCTGCTACGTCAATCCTTATGTGATAATATCTGTCCGGGGAGGTTTTGATTAAGATTGATCGCATACTAATATCCTTAAAGTGGAGCATGTTTCTGTTTTATTAACGTATATGGTTATTGCGTAATTACAGTCGTTCGGCAATAACATGGATAGCCTGCGACCGTATGCCAAAACTACTTATCTAATTTAATTAATTTTATGGTCTGATCGTTTAAGTAGAAATTAGCTTTCGTAATTATAATTCCCGCAGACCGCCAGAGAAAATATAAACCACCTAAATAGAAAAATGCGCTATCCAATTAGCTATTATCACTAACGATACGGGAATGCGCTTGGATTATATCGCATAGAAGCATGTATTGTACTGGCACAGTACTGGCTCCCCCATCAACAAAAATGCCACAAATGCAGTAAAAGCTGAAGGCTCGAGTAGACAGACATGCGTTCGCCCAGCATGTATGCTATAGGAGCCGTCACCGATCGACCCCCCGACCTGGTTGCTTCACCCCTGCCCCCTTCCCAATAATGGAACATACGGAATAATCCTAATGACTGCCTTTCAAAGTGGATCTTATCACAACAGCGGCTTCGCGATGCTTTGTGAGACAGATACGTCGTGGGAGGAGGAGGGGGAGAAGGATGGGGAGGAGAAGATAGAAGAGGAGAAGGGGGCACAGAACTCGTACGTGCTAGCCTAATGGAATTGCTGTCCCCGATAGTCGGGATTATTACGCAATCTATACGACCGTAGTAAATTCCCGAGAGGTGGACACGTCTCAGCGCAGCAGTCAATGTCAATGTTCCCCTGCAACTGTAACACGGCGACACGATGCCCTAAAGCGAATGTCGCGCGCGCAGACTCTTTTCACAGATTGGCACGTAACGAAGTCATCCTATTGATGCTGTTTTACACATGGCGGACGCAGCATGCAGCAGCTCATTCGCACACTTTCCCACACACGCGCAAGCATACACACACACGCACGCACGCACGCACGCACGCACGCACGCACGCACGCACACACACACACACACACACACACACACACACACACACACACACACACACACACACACACACACACACATATATATATAC